TGAAATTGCCAAAGCCACAGGTAGAGCAAGAGATGTATGGGAAGTAGCTGTCTTCTGCCCAGATGGCAATAGTCATACCCGCCGCATCGCTTTTGAGTCTCACCGTGTAGTAGCTGGGACAGAAGATTTTCTTCAGCAGTGAAGAAAGAGAATCTGATGAATAAAAGCCACCCATTTTCCACCCTGATGTTTATAACTACTTTGGTTACCTTTTATTTCTGGTTTAGTTCCAGGTGAACCACCCAGTTCTGTGTTAGTAACTCCCCACACGACTTCATCCGTCCTTGTGCAGTGGCAGGTAGGTAACATGAAAAGTTTTAATGTTTCTGGAACAAGTTTTTGGTTGCTTTAACTTGATGGTACAGCTCAAGGGACATTTTCTTGAGCTTGGAAGTATTGTAAAGTTGAAGGACTACAGCTACTTTCTTATTTTCCTGATCTTGGCATATATTTTAGCAATGGATGGAAATTTCTGGCAGTTGCTGCTACTTTGTGTCACATGGGGGAAAGCTTGAGAGTTAATGGAGTTTCTGTAGCAATGCCCAAGATCATTGCCTGTACAGATTCTGCTGTCCTTCCATTGATATCAATAGATGTGCAGCTTTACACTGAAAACATTTAACAAAGTGTGGAATTGGTAGAGATCAGGTAATCAAAAGCTCACTGTTGCTCACGTCGCATACTCCCTCCTTCAGCTGCTGAAATAATCAGAAGTGCATGCTGTGCCTGAGATCCTGTTCATACCTGTGAGGAACTCCACATGCCCTCTTGGTTCTTTGAGGGCTAAAATCTAAGATTTCTTCAGAGAAAAGAAAGGAAGTTTGAGCTCTTCATAACATCTCTGAGTTGGATATGAAAGTATTTGTGCCAAGTCTGCGTTTTATACAGGCATTTCCTCTGCCTTCCTTTATCTTTCAGTACTGGCCTCCTGGGAGATGCTGGAACATTTTGTGACCCAGTGCCTGAGGCTGCTTTTTGCAGAGTGAGCATTAATAGAGGGAACCCAGTGGGGTACTGCACGTTATCCATAATCTATCCTGGAAAGCCTTTGCCCACCCTGTTCCCGGGACAGCGTCCCACACACATAATAAGGATAACTTTGGACAGATTGCACTATAGCGAAAAATGTACATATGAATTTATAGTACAGATGGGGCTCCTTGCATTTTTGGAGAAAAAATATGAGAGTCTGTTTATTGCTATGCAGCAGCACTTTAAAAATATGCATGGCTGTACTGCTGGCTTCCTGGCCCAAGTTCATGCAGCATAATACTAAGCAGCAACATTGCTTACAGCATGTTGAACAAATAGGAGACATGTTGAACAGTTTTATCAAAGGAATTGTGGAGAGATGTAAATCTACCATCCCACCTACTAATAAAAGCCCCTAGTGAAGGAAAAAAGGTACACCAAGAGAGGATAGAGAATGTGAGGCGTGATGTACTGCAGAAAGAAACATTCCCCCAATTGACTGATTATTGGTGTGTAGTTAATGTGAAATAGGTGGTTGTTTGGGTAATTGGAGGCTTTTTATTTCATGAAAATGAAATGGGGTTGTTGTGCCAGAGCCTTCTCAAGGGAGTTGTGGGCGATTATATGTCATTACTACGTGTGTATTAATAGGTCCTGGTAATTCAACTGTACTATATTTTTCAAATAAACAGAAATCTTCAAGTCCCACAATAGCCTCCAATTAAGAGAAAGTTTCACAGCAGTGCCTAAGAAATGATGTAAACTGAAACCAGCACTCGAGTTAAATGGGAGAGGAGATTTCCGAGCAAAGCTACATTTTTAACTCACAGCTGTGTTAATAATTCACCAAACAAACTGGAAATGCACTATCTAGGCTTTCAGCTGCTGGGTCCAATCACTCCATGATTTTCAAATTTCAAGTAGAAGAAAGTATGTAATTTCCATTGAGGTCTGTGGTATCAATAATGCAAGGTTAGTTCAGATGTTCTGGAGGATGTTACAGTTAACATCAGGATCGTGTAGTTCTGCTTCTACCTTAGAGATAACAATTATTCAAACTTACATTTTAGTCTTTTTTTCTTTCTTTTTTTTTTTTAAACGGCACAAAAATATTTCTCTTACTTCTGTACAACATTACAGGCTGCCACTCATAATCATTTTACCTATTTCAGCAGATCCCTCAGGCCTTCCTACAAACCCCTAAATAATCCATTACATCAAAAGCAGAGTTTTGTCCGTGAAAGACAGATAGGAAGGGGAAGACCTGACCTTTTAGCAGAGTACCCTTTTCAGGAAAGAATCATCATTTCCATGGCAAGGAGAAAGGCAGTTTTCAAGCCATTTATTTTCTGAGCTTTCCTGTCCTAAATTTAAAGGAAGGAAAAACTGGAGAATCACATGAAAGCATAAGAAAATAATGCTTGCTATCAACAAATCAGTGTTGCACCACAATGAGGGATTAAGCTTTATCTGTTAGGCAGTTACATGGCAGAGCAGGGATTAACAGTCTCTTTCTCAGCTTCAGCAGTGTTTTCCTTTTAAGATTCTGTAGGATATTCCACCTCAACCTTTTTTTTAATTATTATTAAAAAATATATATTAATAGTTAAAATAGGAAAATACTTTGGCTCTTTCTGAGAGCACCTTCCTTCTAGGTAACAATTGCCTGAAATACAAATCCATGGAACACTCACTGTATTTTTCATTGTGTGAAGTTTATTTAGGTGCTGGAAAGGCTTTGTTTTCTTGCAGCCTCCCTCCTCCTTTTTGGTGATGCACTTAAGATGTATCTTGGTAGGATAGGGCCTCCCTTTACCCTGTCTCTGGAGAAGACACTTCATGGTTTGTGTTGTGACTCCTCCCTGCCAGGACAGAGGGAGGCAAGGACATTGCTGTGTTGTGGAGCCCTTTTCTGCTATAGCACCATCAGGGCTAAAACAACCTCAATATAATATAGAAAACCAAAGAGAAAAGTCAGAAGAATGGAAAAGAAAAAAGGATCATGATAGATACATGAGTAATTTCCAGTAAACCAGATCTCCTCCAGCTTGCAGAGGAGAACATTTCAGCTGGTCCATGAGCGATCATGTCATCAGGCAGCCGTGGAGAAAGCTGTCACTGTGTTTGGTCTGTTTGCTTAGTCCCTTGAACAAGGGGCTTAATCTGAGACTAGGAAACGCTGTTGTACAAGAGGTTGACGTATTTGCCTTGTACAGTGGAGCCCGAGAGGGAATATGATTGCCCTTTTCAAAATACATCACGGGTGTAAACACCCCCTAGGGAGAACAATATAACCCAAAAGGCAATGTTAGCACAGTAACAAATGGTTATAGACTAGCTGTGAATTATTCAGATCGGAAATTAAATGAAGGTTTCTAACCACCCAGGTAGTGAGACTTGGAACAGCTTTCCAATAGGAATACTGGGAAGCAGAAAAATCACCTTCCTTGTTTTCTGGTGGAGGTTCTGATTGTGAAATAGACTTTAAGAAGGTGACTTTCTGCAGTCTTGAAGGCCTAGTCCTTATGATTCCTGAGGTCTCTCACAATCTTCATTCCTAGGTCATTCTGTAAGGCAGATGCTAAATAATAGTGAAAGGTGCTCAGAGTTTCTCCAAAGGATGGAGCACAGTAATGAGCATGAAATGATGATGAATGAGGTTCTCCAACCATGCACAGCAAGTACAGCAAGATCTTAGGACTATCTGGATTGTTTTCAGCAGGCTCTGGGCAGGACAACTGCAAAAGAAGGCTGCTTCTTACAGGAGTATTTTCTCCTCCTTTTCCTGGTAGCTGTGTAGCTTTCTTACACACTGCTTCACATAATTTTCTTTTTTGATTTCCATATACTGCAACCTTTCTACTTAATTCCTTCAGCCAAAGCAAAGTCCTCTGCACTGAGACAGGACTGCCTGCACTCTCCTCTTGCCATCATAATGAAGTAATGGAAAATTCTTGTCATTTCTGGAAGCAGAATGCTAGGTTATTACCAAATATCTTCCCCTTTTCCTGTAAAAAATAATCTTCCTTTCTTCATTAAAATTACATGTGGTATTACCTTCTATTGTGACAGCATTTCACACCAGCAGTTAATTTTTCCACATTGGACAGATTTTCCTTAGTAAAGTTCTCAAGACTACTAGGGATCTTTCTGGATTAAAGGTGAGATCATCATTAAAATCCTTTTCATTTATACTTTCAGCCTCTTAAATTTCAGTACAAGAATCTTTAGAAGATAAATGGCTCAGGGCATCTTTTCTTTTCTGCAGTTCTTAGCCTGTATTAGACTCATGAAAGTAATTTTTTTCCCCAAACATAAGGAATCCCTCTGCTTGTCTCTATTTAAGCAAGCCATTCGGACAAAAATCTCCTTTTCAGTGTTCTGCCTGTGTATCTCTATCTGAAGGAAGATGTGAGGGGCTGCTGATAATCCTTGCTGAGGTATTATGCCTTTGAGCTTCTTCCAGCTTGTTGCAGAAGGAAAAAAAAACTCCTATCTGGGTCAGCTCTGTGGTCATACATCCTGTACTGCTCCAAGCTGTTATGGAGGAGAATTGTGTTTGCCTATGGGACTGGACCTATGCAACACTCCAGAATCCATTACACTGTGACTAAATACCTCTCTGAGGCTACTAGATGTATTCATCTTCCTAATCAAAACTGGAATACACCAATTCTTTGTTATTTTCTCATCGGTCTTCTCAGCAAAATCATGCCAAATGAAGAATATTGTTTGAACAGTCCCCAAGGAAAATAGCCATTACAGAAATGCTGTCTTTGACAACGTAATTCCTTTCTTTTCATCTCAGAAGAAGTGAAATACTGTTTTGCTGTTCCACTGTTGGTGGCCAGCACTATGCACTTTCAGGGGCATGCTTATTTATGTTCTTTGTCACACACAAGTTTCTGTGCACCAAGAAGGAAAGGACCTTAGCTCTTAGTGTAGTGCATCAGGTGTCAGTTTTAAATAAAGAGCCTTTTGTAACTGCCACAGCTGAGTGAAATCATCAAAGTTGCCTTTAACTTGTGTTTTTCAACTCACACAACCTTTGACCCTGTATATTCCCTGCATATTATTCATGGCTGTTTTCACCAGAGATCACGGTGCCCCTTCACACAGGACCACTGTCAGCTACTGCTTGTTGTGGTGGATGTTTGTCGCAATGCCCATCCTAACAAGCCTGTTCTTATGTGAATGTTTTTCAGCCACCCAAAGTGGAGAGTTTAAATGGCTTGCTCTTGGGATACCGGATCTACTATCGGGAGCTGGATTATGACACTGGATCTGGAACAGAAACCAAAACCATCCAGAGCCCTTCAGCTTTAAGAGCAGAGCTCACACGTAAGCCTGTGTTTTGGACCCTGTAACATCCCAGAATAGTAATCCGTCATTATGCCAAGCACTGTATGCTCTCTTTCCCCATGGAAATAAAACAAATCGTGTCTAAGAGTGCTTGGATAATCTAGCCTTTACAAACTCAGGCTGAAGATGCTGGAAAATGGTGGTAACTTCTGTCTGCTCAGCATAACTTGTCATGGTACATGCTAATCTATGCCAGCATGCTTGAACTGATGTTCTGTCCCTTATATATCCTCTGATTTCCTGCTCTCTGCTCTCTCCATTTATTGATTACCCTGGTATACTTTTTCTGCCATCAGTCAGAAGAGAGAGTTAACTTTCCTCAGCTGGGAACCTTTTTCTTTCTTGTTATTTTTCAGTAGTTTTTATAATCAACAAACACCTGAGGAGAAATTTTAAGTAGAATTTTTTACAATTTCAAAGTGCTTGTCCCTATTTTGGAAGAAAACAGCAAAAATGAGCAAGATTTTTAAGGTGCGTGTTTGCCATGTGAGTCATTGGGATTTTTGGCTCACATGGAAGGAAGGTGGAAAGGAAGGTAGAAAAATGAGAAGGATTTTTAGACAAAGGCTAGAAAGGAAATCAGAGGGAAGAATAGGCAGAATAAGATGATTCGAGGCAAAGATGTGGGCACTCAGTAGCCTGACAGATATATATGGTCCAGCAACGAAAGATGCTCACACAGGGGCCAGCTTTTGTCCTATTTTATGTGGAACATTCAGAATAAGGTAATAATCCAAGAGCAGCAGAATAGGTTTGAGTTGAGACTATTCAAATATCTTACATCATCTTCCATGTCTCCCTGAACCCATAAAAGTGGTTTCTACAAAAGGGTAGTTTGCGTAGGGGTGTGGAAAAAGTGGGTGCTTTAAATATAACGTAAGCACCTAACTCTGACCTCACTTATGCAATCAGTCCTGAATGAAACTTCTCAGACTGCACAGAGTTTTAACCAGGAGAGAGTAGAGATGTAAAGCTCCTACAGGTGTAAGTATTCATAAGAGATTTTTCCAGACAAAAGCTGACTGACTATGTATATATTCATGAAATAATGACTTTGGATGCTCTCTAGTCTCACAAGCCAGGGAGCCTGTGAAACCTACTAGTTTCCTGTGGTCCTTCTTGGCTGGCCCTGCAGCTATGTTCCTAATAGCTGTAGAGTAGAAAAAAATGTGCTGTACCTCTCCAGGGAGTCGAGAGAGAAAAAGGGGTGGAGAAAAGTGTATTTTCAGAGAAATTTCCCTCTTTCTCCTCGTAATATGACAGTCCTCACCTTAACACCTCTGTTCCTCACTGACCTCCAGTTTTGCACAGCTTAGCATATTATTACAATTCAACTCACAGCAGGATTATTGAATTCTGTAAGTGAAACTGTGGGGAATCTAACACACATTTAAAGAAACGGGTCCTGTTCTATTGTAAGCGTTGACTTTTTGTGGCCCATGTTCCAGGTCTTTACCCTGCAGCTGTTAAGGTGTTGAATTTTGCATGTTGAGAAATAAGGAGGTAATACAATGCTGAGACTTTCCCCCCCTGTAAACTGTTTCCTTTTTACACATTTTTCTATTTAATCTAGGAATCAGAACATTTCTGTGTTGTATATTTGTGAGATTCTCTGTTTGAGGAGGAAATGAAACAGTCCCGTGTGAGTGAGATGCTTTTGATGTGTTACAAGAGAGTGATGTGATTTTATTGTCCTTCAAGGGATAGTCCTAAAGCTCAGACTGTGTATGTGTGTGCTGCATCATTTGCCTCTGTCTGCTGTACATCATTTGCAATAACTATTTCCTTGCACTGTAACAAGCTTTCTGCTTTGCTTACCCTGAATAGCCCAAAGCAGCTTCAAGACAGTGAACAGCAGCTCTGCATTAACGACGTATGAATTAACACGTAAGTGCATATTGCCTTTAGATGAGACTCTTTGTAATGGTTCAAAATACACTACAGGCAAACTGCTATGGTTCTCCTCAGTGGATCTAGTAGAAATCAACACCGATTAATGATTCTGCTTCCTTGAGCTTCTTTTTCTTACATCAAGAGGCACTGATGATGCAAGTAGGTAGCTGTTGTAAAAATGTGGCTGCTGGGAAGGTAAAACATTATTGACTGTAACAACCCAGTATTGCTAATGCTAAATGAATTTTGATTCGCTTGCTACATATTTTGCAGTCCATCTGAGTTTAGCTGTATCACATCATTAGTCCTGTGATTCAAGCATTGGATGCTCAGGCATTCCATGGAGTAGGAGGCCAGTTTAGAGTGAGCCCAATGAATTTATGTGCATCTCCAGAGGTGTTTTCAATTGGAAATGAATAAAATAGCATTCGACAGAGTTAAAAGGCGAGTTGCTTTGTGGTGATGATGGTTCACTAGATAGGTTTTGCCCAAGGCTTTTGAGTCACAGATTGTGATGAGCTAAAAAAAAAAAATTAAGCCCTATCCCCACTGAAACTTGCATGCATGAACTCTCATGTGTTCCATTTTCCTCCACATCCAGTTAACACTAGCATCTCCCTTGTGACTTTTCATGGCAGCAATTAAAGATTCCCTGTACAAGCTACACAGTACCATATCTTACAAATCTTACTGGTGTTTGTTTGTTTGTTTGTTACTGCTGATTTGCCTGCTATATGTGTTGCAGTCCATCTGAGTTTAGTGGTATCACATAAATCAGATATCATCTCTAGTGTGCCTGAGACAGGGGAATGATGGTGGACTATGAGTCACATACAGGAGCACAGGAGTTGAAAACACTTCCATGAAACTGAAATGAGATGATGATTAGGCTTATTGAACCTTCCCAAGCTGATGCCATACTGTCAGCCACAGAGTTAAAAGTACTATCTGATTCATAAATAGCAGCGAATATTATTGGCAAAGGGAGAAATTTGGACCCCTGGCCATGTGTGTCTTAATCAATTCAATGCTCATCTAAATAGGGCAATTTATATTATTGATTGCTCCCTTATTCTTAATTTCACTGCTAAATACTGTGGATGATAAATATTTCTGTTAGGATTGATTCTTTCATCCTGTAAAAGCAAAGTCTGAAACAGCTCAGGCGCTGCCTTCCCTACTGATGTTGACATGATTCTCCTCCACCCTTGTTTGCATCTGTTAATTACCCTCATGCAGTTTTGTTCTCTAGATCTTTTTACACTGCCCTCACTCACCAAGCTCATCTGTCAACAGTAGTTTCTGTATGTCGGCAAAGAAATTGGTTGCCAAATTGAGTCCAGACTCCAAATTCTCCCGTCTCTTTGTGATTGATGTTCAAGCTGTGGTTGCTTTGAAGGAGAGAGGTACTCATGCAGTACTTCAGATGGGACTCCAGATTCCCCACTGCAGATCTTCTTCTGCACCCTGCTTCAGCCATTGAACTGGCATTCAACCTGCTTCAACTGACATTCTTGAGCAGTGCAGTTGCTAAATGATTCCCTAGATCAAAGTCCCTGGGGTTAGGCAAAGGCTTGAAGCCATGTTCTTTTCTACCACAAGAGATCAAAACAAGCCTGTCTGTTGAACATTCAAAGCAAAGTCCTGCCTTTTTGTGTCATTAAAAATGACCTGGAGATACTCTTCTGGTTAGTTACTCATCAGGAATGATTCCTTCTACTGAAGCAACAGTGTGAGGAAACTCTGGAAAATCCTGCCATTTCATTGCAAAGATCTTTCACAGTTATGCAAATCCTTCCATGATGTGTGAATAAAGGAGGGATAGAAGTAGATGTTGCATCATTGTACTGTTCTAATGCTCTGTTTCACAAGAGAGAAGTCTGGTGTTAAAGAAGTGATGGAGTCTAAAAAACACCTGTAAGATAAATAATAGTCTATAATATGTAATAGAATAATGTAATATTTTCCTTTTTCAGAGTTGAAGAAATACAAGAGATACGAAGTATTAATGACAGCATATAATGTAATTGGTGAGAGCCCTACCAGCACACCAGTGGAAGTGTTTGTGGGTGAAGCAGGTAGGTAAAAGGAAAATTAGTTGATTTTCTTTTCTTTTCAAGTTACCAGCATGTTTTAGTATTCTCCAGATAATATTCAATATTTGTCAGGAAAAGGGATGGTGAAAAATTCCCCAATCATGATCACTAACAGTTTCTTTTAGCATCCTCTCCAGGAATAGGTTGTCACTGAGAGTTTCCTGCCAAATGAAAGCCAGTGGGTCTACACGAACGAGGGAGAAAAAGCATTTGAAAGAAAGGAGAGAAAATCTTTTTGGAGTTGCAGGAGGATGACTGTTCATACCAAATTAGCTTGAGGGAAAAACTGACTCAAGTTAAAGAAGTGAAAAGTGGAGCACAGGAAAGCCACAAGGGAAAAGAAACAAAACTACAAAACAAGGGAGACTTGGAAAGATGCTTCTTGCTTCTTTTATTTTATAACTCTCTGTGTAGAGACACTGCCTGTGTAGAGACATACAGCCTGTGTGCCTGTGCCACACCTTGCTGTAGTTTTATGCTCTTGAAGTCACGAAGACGCTATGTCTAGTTTACTGCTAGCTTTGGAGGCATAGATGATGATTACACTCAGGAACATGCAGACTTTATAGCTGCATCCAGCCTCTACAGAAGCTGAGGGTCAGTGGTGCTATTCATGCCTTTGCTTATTATGGGTCTAGTGCATGAATACAGGCTGTATTTATGAAATGTAACTTGTCCATCATGTTAAAATCCCTCCATTGGAAGGCTGGAGGTGGAAATCAGGATGAGACAGTTAACTAGACACATTCTTTGAATGCTTTGTGAGACTGTTGATTTTGTAGAGCTCAGATAACCCGCAGCTGAGTCTGTTCTGGGTATCTCTACCCAGAGGAACGCAGGACTGGAACAGCTGATGTCTTCCTCACAGCCACAGCAGCGGTGCTGTATTTATGGTGACCCCAGCTGGAAAGAGGCTGGTGCTGAAATAGTTGTTAGTTATGGTATCAATTTCTGCAGCAGTGTCTTTTGAAGTTTAGAACAAGAATAGGCAACACTTGCCCTCCTGTTGTTCACTCTGATGCCGTGACGGGATCTGATTACACTTTTGTTCTTCTGTCTTAAGGCTAGGATGTAGAAGCTATCAAACCCAGCAATAATTCATTTTATTCTTATTCATTAAATATTCTATTGCTGAAAACTAAGCAAAGCACATCTTTTTTAAACTCTACTGCACATTTTTTAAACTCTACTTAACCTTTTCATTTCAGATACGGTGAACCATTCACTCTCTTCCTCTGAAAACATCATAAATTAATTAGAGCAGCATGGTTCTGCAGAGACAGCTGGCAATATTTACATTTTTTTCTAGTTTGCTGCTGCTCTTACTTGTGCAACTGCAGTGAAGAAAACCCCAAGTGGAGCCAACTGTAGCTGGCTTCAAAATACATTTTTGTTTCAGAGCTCAATATCTCACTGCTGCAAATGGAGCCAGCACATGCATTCATACACATGTACACAGCACAGAAAGTCAGCTGGGGAAAACAAGGAAATGTTGATACATCATGTCTTTTAATCCCGTGGTCCAGGTCTTCCTTACTGTAACTCAGACAGGAAACAGGGCAATGGAAGGAGCCAAACTTGAGAGGAAACTGATATATCCAGGAGACCTTTTTTCACAGGCAGGGCTGGTGTATCTGAAGTTGTAGCGTGACTCTGATGGGTTTTTTAGAGATCTTGGATTTACCTCTGGTTAGGGACAATCCAGGTTCATGCGGTAGAAATGATGAATGTAGGATCTTCCTGCCGATTTTCACTCTTGTTGTGTGAAGTTATTACACTTTGTTATAGAACTGCCTCTTCCACCTCCAGAACTGGCTGTGATTTATACTGTGAGTAAAGTGATTGGAGCTGGTATTGCAATTTAAGTTTTAAATTGATTTGTGACACCTTCGAGTTTAAGTGTGCTGTGGAAATACAAGTTTTGTTGTTATTGTTTGCTTGATGTTCTTACCCATGGTAAAGGCAGTTAAGCAGTAAACTGGAAAAAATGGATCTGCTTAGCTTCAGCAACTGGAGCATCCATGTTAAAAATAGAAAAAACCTTCCCAATAAACAAGTGCTGACAACACAGGCATAGCACTGAACACAAAATGACTGAAGGGAACCAGTCTCCAGGCTGAAGGCCACGGATAACTTTCATCTCAATATTGCTGAACAGTGCTTCCTTCTGCTGTAAAGGTTCCAGTAATTCTGGTTAGGTGCAGGAACATTCCTCTCACTTGTAAAAAGGAAAATACAGCATTTGCCTTTGGGAAGCGTGCTGGGTTTAGGCCAGCTCAGTCAAATACCCAATACTGTGCAGTTCTGGTGGGTGTTTCATACAGTGTAGGGCACCTGGGAATAATACAGATGGTTGATGGGCTGTTCAGCTTCCGTGTCTTGTGCAGACAGATGAATGATGCAGAAGGAAGAGTGTCTGTAATTCCTTCCTTTTCCGTTGCCCTCTCGTCTGTTAGATTGGAAGATTTTCCTATCCTTATATCTGGGTGTTTACAATAAAAGCTCCAGTAATGGAACCTCCTGACAAATTTGGAACAAAAAACATTTAAACCAACTTTCTGGCAGAGTGGCCAAACAAACAAATAAAAAACACCCAATGGGGAGCTTCTCTCAAGCCCCGGAGTGCCATTGAGCTGTATCCCAGCCAATAGCCTCCCCGGGCAGCCCAAGTGCTCAGGTCTCACTTGCCTCTGGCTGATGGGCAGCTGCTGGTAGGCAACAGGCCGGACATGAGTAACAGACCTCTGTATCCTGACTTGCCTGGTGAATAAGGGAGCTGGATGTGTTTTGGGGATGTGGTTTGGAGCAAAACCTTTTTCTTGTTACAGTAGCCCGTAAGATCAAAGCTGCAGCAAAGGCTCAAAATGGAGTTCTGCCTGGATGTTTGTAGAACTCACTGGCATGGAGAGCAATTCTTCCTCGTGTCTGGAGAGCAGGCTGGGAGCCCTTGTGCTCAGCACAGCCAGGGAGGATGCGGTGCCTGCTCAGTCTGAACAGAGCCAGTTCCTTCCCCCACCTGCCTCAAGCATCTGGATCTCTCTCCTCCACAGACCAGAAGATTCTTGTGATATTGCCTTTTTAGAGCTGGCTGCAGCTCTGCCCTGCTCATTAGAGAACCATGTGCATCTCCTGACAAATGACAGAAAAATTGAAAGCCACCACTTGCAGAAATTAGGAAGGGAGTCGCAGCCCCGTTGGCAAACCCCCTTCTCGCCTTGTTAATTCATTTAACAGTTCAGCTGTCAGGGATGCTGGCTTTGATTGGAAAGAGAGTGAGTGTTCAGCAAGAGGCTGGGTACTGATATTCATCCCAGCCCTAAATGCAGCTGCTACCAGAGGTGCTGTTCTGCTCAACTGAAATGAAGACTCTGTTAGAGCAGCCACTATATCAAGAGCTTTATTCTACCAGGTTGCTGTCACTATCTGATTGTGTGGTGGGCTCTGGAGTTGAGGAGACTCCACCACCTGCATTGTAATTAAACATGGTGGGGCAGGTGTGCTTCACCTAATTTGGGAAGGTGAATAAAATGGAGGGTGCCAGTACAAATCCTGTGCTAACGAGCCTGCAGCCTCCAGTGGTTCTCCCATATACTCAAAGCTGGCTTGGATGAAAAATAATGGAATTAATAATTTCTTCCAGCAGCTGCTGCCAGAGGAGAGTGTGTATTCATGGAGAGGAAGTAACAGAAGGGGTGGAGTGCACCTAGAGATACTAGCCTTTAAACTGGTGGTAAATCCATTTGTGTGAAGAGGGGAGTGACTTGTGTCATTATAACTGATGGTGACATTGGTGACCTTCAGAATTCACAAGAAATGATGAGGGTGGTTTGTTGTTACTGTTCTTTGTAATAATGATCTCTGAATGCTGGTAGTGCAATGGGAAAGGCAAGCAGTAAAAAGAGCTGGGAGACAGAGATCCCCTTCTTAGAAGTCCTTTGTTGAAATGCTGCCTTGGTTGTACCATCATCTTTCAGAAAAGGTTTCCTGGCTTTCTTCCAAGTAAAACTAGCTTGGAAAGGAACAGGAGTGGGACAGAGGGGTGACTGCTTCTTACCTCTCTCTTCTTACCATCTTCAAAAACCTGTATCTACCTCTTGGTGCAAAGCTGGCAGACACCAAAGCAAATGTCCCACTGTTACCTGCAGTCGTTATCATCTGCCCTTCTGCCTACAGCTTCACACGTGTTCCTGGAGTTCACAGGCTTTATTTTGTTCACCACAGCTGACACATGTAGGGTGTCAGCTCTGCCAGTAATGTCAGGGGAAGCACTCAATGCTGCCTGACCATCTCCAGCATGTTACAAGCAAGAAATAGAAGCTATCTGGAAAGCTCCAAGACCAAAGACAGTGATTAAGATTTAGGAAAGAGAAGATAAAATAGAGAGAAGAAGCCATGCTAAGGAGAAATAAGCCTCATAAGGAAGTAAAGACTTGACTCCAGTCACCTGGCTTCCCTTTATAAACTGCTTCTAGCAAAGAGCTCGTGTCTCTTCTTACCTGGTGCTTGGACTATGTCCCTTTGTCTATCATGCTAATGCTAGAGAAGGTTGTCAGAACAAGGCTTTTTTGTCCTTGAGTGTTTTAATCTCTTTTTGCAGGCCTCACTCTCTTCATGTGTTCATACAAAATACCCTAATTGGTGTCACCTCTCAGTCGTAGGTCACTTTAGGGAGTCCCTCAGCACTACCTCACTTCCTTGTATAGCACAGAAGCTTTATCTCCTTCCCTGCCCTGAATGTAGCTGAGAAGATGCTGTGCAGAGAAGTCCCCTGTGCTTCCTTGTTAACAGCCTGCAAGAGGAATGACAACATTTCAGTGCATTAGAGCTGGCAGCTTCAATCAGTGTGCTGTGGCCCCCTTGGCTGTTTTCTCCTATCTGTTTGGGACACGTGGGCCTTGTCTCTCAGTGGCCAACTGTGTGTATGCAGATAGGGAGCACGTTGCTGCTGGCACAGCTAGGAGAGCTGGGTGGGCATTTCCATC